TGCTTGTAAACTGCATGAACTGCAAACAGGTTCTAATAAAATTAAAAAATTTAAAAGATGCTATTTCTTTTGGTTTGTGTTTTTTTTTTTTTTTTTTTTGAGACAGAGTCTCACTACGTAGCCCAGGCTGGCCTCGAACTCAAGGCGATCGTCCTGACTCAGCCTCCCGAGTGGTGGGACGACAGGGGTGCACCACTACGGCCCGGTCTGGAGAGATGCTGTTTCCCAGTCACCTACAGAGAAGGCTGCCTGCTGAAGGTGACAGACAGGCTTCTGGGGGGTGGAACACAGACGTTACGGAGCTCACCGTGGAAGAGTGCGAGGTAACCATCGCCTGGGGCCGGCCCTGGCTTCGGAAAGCGGACGGGCAGCTCAGTGGGGAAGGGGCTCTCCCTGACTCTGCAGATCAGCAGAACCATCTGGAGCAGGGCTGACACCCCAGGCAGAAGTGTTGACGGCGGGCGGCTCCGCTCCATCCAAAGCTAAGGGTCCGAGTAGGGTGCTCGCGCAGGCTTACCAGGCTGCGGCTGCCTGGCTCCCCTCCGGCAGGTAACAGACTGTGTATTTGTGTTAGGAGAACAGAGGGCCAGCGACATGCGTGGAGCTTGGACTCATTTGCATAAATGTGAAAAACCAAACCCATCTACAAAGAAAATGGAAGTTTTCACCAAACACGTCGATTTCTGTTTTCCCTTGCAGGGGTGCTGGGGCTGGAACCAGGGCATCTGCCACCGAGCTACACCCCGAGACGCACAGGCAGGTCACAAACCTTCGCAGGTCACTGAGAAGTAAGGGCCAGTGTTTTGCTTTTGTCTTTTGAGGGAGGGTCTCATTATGCCGTTCAAGCTGGCCTTGAACTTGCGGCAATCCTTCTGCCTCAGCCTCCCAAGTGCTGGGACAACAGACTTAGGGGAGAGGAAGGGGAGGACCACTGATGCCCTGTTTACATCTCAGGTGGGGATGAGGCAGGAGGGAAGCAACTCCGGCACAGTCGGGCCTGTTCCCCTTGCTGGGCTCCGTGGTTTCCTGACCAGCACGTGGTCCCGTTGCGTCCCGGCAGACGACGGTAGCCAGTTCACTGGTGTGGTTCAGGGTTATGATTCGTTGCCCTTCATCTTCTACATTTTTCCAGGCCATAAAATAGGCAAAATAATTGCCGAAGACCTCTAATTTCATGACACACGCTGTTTTCACATAATAATAGCTGCTTGGCAGATTATTCGTTTCTTTCCAGTGGCTTATTCCAAGGTAGAAAGTGGAGAAGGGGACATTTCATGGTAGCAATCTCTAATTATCACAGCCATTTTCACAGGTGAAGGCCAAGGAGCCAGGAAAGACACTGCTACTCCAGCTGGGCGTGGTGTGCACATCTGTCATCCCAGCACTGGGGAGGCTGAGGCAGGAGGAGCACCACAGTTCAAGGCCAGCCTGGGCTACACAGTGAGTTCAAGGCCGGTTTGAACTGCACATCAAGACCCTGTCTCAAAAAAAGGAAGACACTGCTCCTCTGTCCTCTGCCAACAATATTACTCAGTGCTCTTATACCTCAAAGTTAGTAGCTCCACTAACAATGTGGTTGGTCTATTTCTTGAGACAGGGTCTCACTCTGTAGTCCAGACTGGCCTCAAACTCGAAGTGGTCTTCCTGCCTCAGCCTCCTGGAATGCTGAGATTATAGGCATTTGCCACCATACCTGGCACTTGATTGCTCTATTGAAACCCCTTTTCTACCGTGTTATGACTTCTAATACTAATACAAACACTTTTAGAATAATTCAGCCTCTTAATCTCACCCTCATAGTCACAACGCCTGTCTGAGATAGGATGGGCTCTACTGTCCATCATGAGCAGTGGGAAACTTAGGACAGAGGGAAGTCAAGCAGGTTTCTAAAATTCACAGCTATCTGGTGCAACAGTCAGAAGTAAAATTCAGGCCTTTTGGCTTCCAACCAAGTTTCTTTCTTCTCCAGGAAGAATGTTTTCTTTTTTTTTTTTTTGTACCAGGGATTTAACTCAGGACCTTGTGCTTTCGAGACGGGGGCGGTGCCACTGAACTAAGTTCCTGGCCCAAGAGTGTTTTCTTTTGATTTTAACATTAAAAAAAGAAATCTTAGCTAGGCCTGTGGCACACACTTGTAATCCCTGGGAGGATCCCAAGATCCAACCTAGCAATGGGAACTTAGCGATTTTGTAAGATTGATCTCCAAATTTAAAAAGGGACTGGGATGCAGCTCAGTTCAAAGGCCCCAGGTTCAATCTCCAGTACCACCAAAAGCAAAGCAAAACCAAAACAAAACCAAACCTAAAACTTACTTGGTGTGGTTTTGCAATGCCCTCTTCTCTGCCTTGTGCCTGTGACTGTTTCTTCTTTCCACTGCAGTCATCATTATTCTTTACAGCACCCCACACAGTTCCTCAGACATAATAAGGACTCAGTAAATACTGTGAGGATTAAGAATATAGGAGTGGCTTTTATAGGGCAGGAGGAGTCTACTATTGTCAGCTCAAGTCTTTTCCCTCTGGTCCCCACCTAACAGCAAGGAGGCCTCGAGAGCCCGGTCCTCAGGAGGGGCATAAAGATGCGTTCCAAGGTAGGGTACAATTGGCAAAGTGTACACATTACAGTGTCCAACCCCGGGTTTTGATACATGTACACAATGCCTAACACTTAAATCCAGATGTAACACTTTTGTTTTCCTTTCTCTTCTATATTTTTTGTTATTTAGTCCAGCCTGGCCTTGAACTTGCAGTGATCCTCCTGCCTCAGCCTCTTGAGTGCCAGGGGGAGAGCTGTGGGGACCACGCCCGGCTCCTGAGATTCACTTCTAAACAGGAAGAAACTGAGGCTCAGAAAGGCTCAGTAATTTGCCCAGTCTTGCAGCTAAGTGGCAAAGACAGCTAAACACTGAGAGCTGTGAGATGCCAGCATCTTGGCTATCACTACTATACAATGTTTAAATTTTTAAAAAATTTAATGTAACTTTAATTACTACATGTGTTACCTATACCCTTCCAGCCCTGGCACAACAAAGTTCTCAGATGGCTAAGGCCCTCCCTCTTCTGATGGGGAAGTAGATCTTGTCCCTGGGTCACCCCAGAGCCCATGTTCTGTTAGTCCTGGCAACATGAAAGTTCCATGGAAGGAAACTCCTGCTTAGAGTGTTTGTTCTCACTCAAGTTGTAGGCTGCAGTCTGTCCCCAACACCTACTTTTCCTCTTTTAAAAGGTAGGTTAATTTCTCCTTCCGCTTGTAATCTCCACTACCTGGGCGCTTCCTCTTCACTTCCCCAAAGGGGAGAAAAGAAAGTTTTCTTTCTTCTGAAGGTTGTATCAATAGAGGTCAAGATTATTTGGATCATTTATTTTAATAAGCTGCTTATGGAACAGCTTTGCCCCTAGCTGGTTATAGCTCTGGCTGGCCTGTTATCCCAGGCAGAAGGAAAATCTGGTTTTCGATGTTTCCTTTCATGCTGTATTCCGTGTGGGCTGAGAAACTATCAGACTAGGATTAAAATGACTGATTCAAGGGTGTTAGGCAGGAAGGCATTGTACTGGTTAGTGCAACTTGGTTTTCCAAGAGACTGCTGAAATCCATGGCCTGATTTATTTATTTTGGTTTTTTGAGACAGGGTCTCACTATGTAGTTCAGGCTGTTCTCACACTTGTGACAATCCTCCTGCCTCAGGCTCCCTAGTGTTGGGATTAACCATAGCTTGATTTAGTGGGGCTCATGGGTTTCTCTCTATTATTCACTCTCAAGTGCTCATCAAATAAAGGCACCTAGCAGCCTTCTGCCTGGGGTGTGAGGAGGAGGGCCTAGCATTTGAGGGATCAGATCTGGGAGTGCATTACTTCGATTTCTGCCCTGTTACCTAGCTCTTGCTCAGGTCAGGCAATTTTTTTCTAAGTCAAATTCTCATACACAGGCTGGGCACAGTACTTAGCTCAGGTTATTACTGAGGACTAAGTAACCTATTCTAAACTGGGAGTAGTGCTGTATGCATGTGTGTAATCCCATCACTCGGGAGACTGAGGCAGGAGGATCACCTTGAGTTCAAGGCCAGCCTGGACTACACAGGAAGACCCTGTCTCAAAACAAAACAAGAAAGTTTCTCTACCTTTAAAGCAGCATCGAAAACATTATTAAAGCAAGAAGTTAAACTCTCAGACAATATTACTAGTTTCTCCCCACCCCACCCCCCTCAGTGATGATGAGCTTTCTGGGTATCCCGCCCCCGCCCGCATTTCTCTTTGGGGCGCGAAAGGTTTCACTTTGCTAAGTTGGGGCACCCAGATGCCAACTGCTCTCAGAACGCCCCCAGCCTGCCCCCGAGGGTGTGCGGCGTGGACCCGGAATCGAGACCCCGAAATGGTCCAGTGGCGCAGGACCTGCAGGCGCACAGCTGGTCACACCCAGGACCCTGGCCCCTCCCCGGCGGGGGGGGGCTCCCCAGACCTCTGGCCCGCCCGGAGCGGCCGAGAGCGCGCTGAGTTTGGGCTGCGCTCGGCGAGAGCAGACAAAGGGACTCCGCTGGCCGCCTTCGGGTCCGCGGCGCTCCGGCGCTCGGCCCGGCCCGGCCCCGCCCCCAGCCCCTCGCTGCGCCCCCGCCCGCGCCCCTTGGTCGTGCGCGTCCTCGGAGCGGAGGGACACTCGGGGCGAGGGGGCGTGTCCCCATCCCCATTCCCGTCCCCGTCCCCGCCCGGGAGCGAGCCTGCCCGGCCGGGTTCGGACAGTAAGAGACGCGTGGGGCCGCGCTTCGGCCCCTCGCTCGGGTCTTCGGCATGGGGGCGGGGCTCGGCGCAGCCGGCGGCCTCCGATTGGCTGTGGATATCGGGGCGCCGCTCCGTGATTGGGCCGCAGTGCTGTCTGGCGCGTGGGCGCGCGAGGTGGGGAGGGGGCGCTGGAAGCTGCTGGAAGTCGAGGGGCGGGGGCAGCCGCGGGGGAGGAGCGGGGGGCGGGGTCAGATCCGCCCCGCCCCCGCCCCGCCCCGCCCCGCGCCGAGCTCCGACCGCGGGCGGCCCAGGGGCGGGCGCGCCGCTGCATCCCCATCCTCGCGTCGCCGGGCGCAGCGCGAGCGCCATGGCCACCTCGAGCACCACGGGCTCCACCCTGCTGCAGCCGCTCAGCAACGCCGTGCAGCTGCCCATCGACCAGGTACTGCCCGGCGCTGCGGCGCGACAGCCCTGCCGGCCTCGGGGCCACCGCCCGGGCGGGTGGGGGCTGGGCGGCCGTGCGGGACGCCGGCTCCGGGGGCGCGAGCCTGGCATTGTCCCCGCGGCGCCCCGTGTCCATTGGGCGGCGCCGGCGACCGCCCGGAACCGACGTGCGCGCGGGCGTGCTGTCCTGCCCCGCGACGGGGTCGGACGGACGCTCCCCGATGCCCAGGAGAGCTGCGGGCCTGGGGTCAAGGGTCCCAGAGACGCGTTCGAGGGGCTGCGGAGGTGCCGCACGGGGGGACAGTTGGTATCCCCAAGAGACCGGGGAGGGGGCAGAGCTGAGGAGGAAAAGTGGAGGGGAGTTCATGATCCCAGGATGTGGGGCCCCTGAAGTTGCCCTATGTGGACGGGAGCTGCCACGCTGCCCCCTGCCCCGTCCCCATCAGAAAGCATTTGACACCGCCGGTGGTGGGGGGAGAATCTCAGTGAGGCCACTCGAGTCTGATTGCTTAGTGGGCCTCAGGGTGGCCGGGGATGGGAAAGCAGCGCCATTGTTACTCCGAAAAGAAAGTTTGCAAGTGTTTTGTCCAGAGTGAGGCTTCAGGGAAGCTGTTGCCAGGCTGTGGAGGTAGCTGCCCTTACCCCAGGCTGGAGGGAATTGACTTTGACAGTTGGGCTTAGCCTTGTGGAAGGTACACCTGGGGTGCAAATTCTGCCTGTGTGTAGGGACAGTGGCCACTGTCTTAGCTGGACTCTGTAGTCTTCGGGGACTTTGCTTAGGATGCAGGATTCCTCGGTGTCCACACTGCGCTCCGTGGAAAGGACGTGGGAACATATTTACAATTCATAGCTTATTAACTCTTCTGTGCTTTACTGTTTTAAATAAAATAGACCCGAGTGTGCTGAAAGAGTATTTTAAAAGACTTGTGCCTGCTGTGCCAATGTCTTCCATGCTCAGAGTTCAGGGGTGACTCTTGGATAATAGTGGAGGACCTACCCCACAACGTGTTTCGTGTAAGTAGGTTGAAGCTCCAGTGGTAACAATTACTCCCGTGTTTCATGAAATGGGCCTCTCTGTGTATTAGGAAGTTGATCAGGACCTAAGGATCTGGGGGCTTCTCAGCCCCTAGAGGACTCACCGCTTTCCAAACTGCAGAGCAGCTCTGACCTTTGAATGTATTACACCTCCAGCTTAAATAGGTTGCTGCCAGTGTGTGGCCACTGGGGGATGGGGTCTGTTGAAAAATTTTCTTGCTAATGAGAAGCAAAGGAGACACAGGCTTAGGCTTTCACATTTCTTGTAGGGAAACAGGTTATGTTTCCTTCTTACCCTACTTTCTCTTTCTGCCCCTCCCTACTATGGTGAAATTTTTTATAGGCTGATCTCTGGGCATTTATATAATGCCTATCATTCAAAATTGATTTAATGTTAGTGAACTAATTTACATATCTCAGCAATCTAGAGAAAGTTCTTTTCTGTATTTGAAATAAGTAGGAGAATCAGGGGAAGTTGACAGAACTTGAAATCCTTTTGACTTTCCTGTTTTATTTGCTGCAGGTCTTAATGTAGTGTCTTGGACAACTTTCATTTTGCTGGAACTACCCTAAATTTGGTTTTTGGTTTGTTTGTTTGTTTGTTTGTTTTGAGACAGAGTCTCACTGTGTAGCTCAGGCCAGCCTCAAATTTGTAGTGACACTCCTGCCTCAGCCTCCTGAGTGCTGGGCTTAGAGGCGTGCCTACCACACCTGCCTTGTGATTGTTGTAAATTTCTATAGCTGTGTACAGCCATATGCTTGTGTGGCCATTTGTAAAGTGCTTTGTGTTGCTTCCTCTGCTCTAAGGAAGTCTTAAGATTGTGGGGTTAGTGACACACAAGCCTTACTTTTTCATAGTCATAAGAAACAATTTCTTTGAAGCTCCAGAGAACCTTTTTATGGATGCTGCTTTAGAAAGATGAAAAACTCGGGCTGTAAAACGTGATGAGTGGTCATTTAGCTGCTATCTTTAAATCAAGCAAACCAGAAAACTTATAACTTGTAAATAATTGAGTCAAGTTAAGAGAAAACCTAAGAACTGGTTGTAATCGAATAGTGTGATTCAACAGGAAAAAGACGAATCCGGAAATGAAAGTGTAAAAAATATCACTTGTTAGTATGTTAATTTGGTATGTGCTAATTAACAATGTTTTGAAAATTTAGGGAATTATAAAAGCAGTCGTTTGATGTCAGGAAGAAAGGGCTTTAAGGCAATAAAAATAACTTTCTTTTTAAAAACTAGAGTGAGTGGGATTAGGAGATGGCAGAACTTGATGGTGTGGGGGCATTAGACGGTCCCCCGAGGGTCAGCCGGCAGAGGCTGGGGGTATACTCTTCACCCAGAGTTTCCTAGTGACCTTGAGGTAGCCAGAGCATTATTCAGTAGGCCTTAAATTCATTTAGTTATTCTCTTTTTCTTTTGTTTGTTTGGTTTTGTAATGAGGCAGGGTCTGTCTATGCTGGCCTTAAACTCACTATGGAGCCCAAGCTGGCCTGGAACTCTTGGTGATCCTCCTGCCTCAACCTCCTGTGTGCTGGGATCACAGGCATGTGCCACCACACCCAGCGGAGATCAGTAGGCCTTAAATTTAAATAAAAATATAAAATCTAGAGTCAAGCAAGGTTTGGTGATACTTTCAGATAGGAAAGATCCAGCCTCTGATGTTTCCTCTCCTTCTAGGTCTTGCTTTCCTGGCGACTTTATTTCAGGGATGATGTTTCCTAGGCAGGAACTTTTAAAGGAACATGGAGAGTCAGTTTTGAGTAAGGACTTGGATGAAGTGAGAGCTTAGATATGTAGCCAGGCGTGGTTGTGCATGCCCATAATCAGGGGGCTGAGGCAGGAAGATGCAAGTTAGAGCTCAGCCTGAGCAACTTAGTAGTTTAGTGAAACCTGATCCCAAGACAAAAAATTTAAAAATGGGCTGGGGATGTAGCTCAGTGTGAATGAAGGCCCTGGGTTCAATCCCCAGTACAGCCAAAAAAGAGAGAGAAAGAAAGACACACACAGAGAGAGAGAGAGAGAGAGAGAGAGAGAGAGAGAGAGAGGAATAGATGTGTAGTCTAGAAGATGTCAGAATATTAGATATTACTGGGCATAATTATGTTGTTATACATTGCTGCTAGGGGAGGTTTTAAGACTCCCAAGCGAGTACTGAAGTGGAACAAGGAATGTGTAGGTGTTCCAGATCAGCCTATTTTGTTTGTTTGTTTGTTTGTTTGAGTCAGGGTGTCACTGTGTAATTCAGGCTGGCCTTGAACTCACTGTGCAGCCCGGGCTGGCCTGGAACTGGTGGGCAGTGCCAGCATGAGGAGGCTGAAATCCAGCCCTTCTTCCCTCCCTGTCCGCCACACCTGCAAGCCGGGTCTTTCCCAGTCTCATCTGTGCCACGCCTCTGCCTCCGCCGGGGCACCCCGGTCTGGCCCTCCCAGCGTGTGCTGTGTGCCTGGTGTTTCGGCCTCTGTTGTGGTGCTGGTAGGAGACAGATCGCACCGGGTGATGATGGAGCCATGAAGGGCCACTCTCCGAGACAGGGGTAGTTTGGGGAGACCAGCAGGGCCCAGGACAGTCACCTGCTGTCAACTGCACGGAGCCCCAGATGGCAGGGACCGATGGCTGCAGGGACCTGGTGCCAGGGCAGCACCTGCCTGCCCTCTGTCTGTGTCTCCTGCTCAGGGCACAGAGGAGAGCAGAGTAGGTGGGGGTATCTGATTCTCTTCGGGCTGTGTGATCTCAGTGAGGGCAGATAGCACCCTTGTTTCTGTACCTCGTGACACAGGCAGCAGTCATCTCATCAGCCCCTCGTGCACTTTCCTCTTCTCTCTCCTCTGTCAAACATTTAAAAGAACAGCGTAGCCTGGTATGGTGGCACACATCTGTGATCCCAGCACTCGGGAGGCTGAGGCAGGAGGGTCACCGAGAGCTCCATGCCGACCTGGGCTACATAATGAGACCTAGTCTCAAAAAAAAACCAACCCTTGGGGTGGTTATGAAAAACACACATTCCAGTTTCTGGGTGAGGGCCAGGAAGCCTGCGTTCTGCCGGAGCTTCTCCTCACTGCCTGGCCACCCACCACCATCATGCCTGACCTGGGCCAAATACTTCAGGTCTTCATCTTATTAAAGGTTACAAAAATGTGACAGGGCTGGGGAGGTAGCTCGAGCCAAAGTGCTTGCCTAGCACATGTGAAGCCCAGGGTTTAATTCCCCAGCACCACAGAAAAAAGGTGATTTTTTTTTTTTTCCGGTACTTGGGATCGAACTCAGGACCTTGTGCTTTCGAGGCAGGCAGTGGGACCACTAAGCTAAATCCCTGGCCCCAAAAGATGATTTTTTAAAAATGTTTACATTTAACAAAATACAATGTATAATCAAAATATACAATGTGTGTTTAAATTAAAATCAAATTACAGTGAAAGATGCATGGCCACGAATGTCCTTCAAAATATTCCCCTTGTTTTGAACACACTCATCCCATCCTCTCTGCCATTTTCTGCGACAGCTCTAGAGTCCTCTTTTCTGAGGGTCTTTATTAGGTGTGATCAAAAATAAGGTGAACACTGCTGCTGAGAGCCATCCAGCAGAAAGGCACCTCATAAAGACAGGATGCTGTGTCCTCATCCACCTTAGTCACTGGATCTGGCACCATGTGACCCCTGGCTTTTCCCCAAGGTCTAAATGACCACAAAAGGGACACGTTTTGAATCCATTCAGGACCTCAAGACAGCCAGGACAGCGCAGCTAAAGACCCTCAGGAAAGAGGACTCCAGAGCTGCTGCAGAAAGTGGCCAGGACGATGGGATGAGGGTGTTCAAAGCAAGGGGAGGACTTTGATGGAATTCATGACAGTGGTCTTTTACTGAAATAAAAATTTTAAATGTGAACACTGACTGTGTTTCGATCACACCCCTAATGTGTAACCTGGCAGCACCTTGCAGCGTCACGGGATTCAGGGAAATGCA